TTGAAAAAAAATGAAATTTATTATTACTTTATTTTTTGAATAAATCATCTTCCCCTTTCTTTACACCCTCAAAATCATCCCCAAAAGTTTCTATAACCTAAAAATATTCTCTTTTATTTTCTGCTTAAAATTACAATACATTGTTCTATTATAGTTTTACTAAATATCATTTTGATGTGCTATAGAAAATGCATTTTCTTAAAATAAAATATCACTTACATAATTTATATTTGGAGGTGTGCTTACATGTTTCTGCTTCTGTCTACCTAAAAGGAGACTCAGTAGAAAGGAAGGAAAAGAAACTGCCCTCACAGTTTCCCAGAGAACACTCATGGCCTGTGCGATTGCGCTTGTCACTGTTGTAGGCATTCAGTGCCTGTGACTACCAACATTTCTCTTTCCCTGTCTTTGAAGAAACAATCCAGTCAGACAGCTAATAGAACTGTAGCCAAGATTCCCCACTGCATACTAGAACAGACTATAGCAAGATTAATGTGTATGTTTCACTAGGAGGTTTGCTTTTGTTTTCTCAGAAAGCAACAAAGCCAATCAGATGTGACTGCTCTGAGCAGTGGTCCCCAGGACAATTGTTACTCCTATGATTTTGATTTCTTACACTGTCCTATCTCCTATTTGTTCTCAAACTCCCGCATTCTCCATTTTTTTCCAATTTAGTAAACAACTTCACAATTTTCTAATGGTTTCCTATAACAAGGAGGTTGTGTACCTGTTGTCAGCAAATCAGGGACAGAAAAGAGAAAACTATACAGTTGATCAGATATGCACAGTAAAATGATTCCAATGTATTTTCACCTATGAAATTACAAAAAAGTAAATCTGCAGAAGATCATCAAATGAAAATGTATCGAGAAAACATATTACATGCTTTCATTGGAATATATATTGATTCAAACTTTTTATGTAAATTTTTGAAGAAATAACATTAAAACTGACAATATTATCAAACAAGACATTTTACCTGTTGTGACTGAGTCTTTGAAATTATTTCAACAAACATTCAAAAATAAACATAAGTTCATAGGAACATTCTCTTAATATGGATTTGGTAATGTTTGGTAATTTAAATTTAAGACAGTCTAATTGATCATCAATAGTGAAATTGCTAATAATCTTCTGGATTGTTATTTATCCCTAAAACTGAATACAAATATCTACACAACAGAAAAATCGCCCTCCTATTTTCTTTCAAGGGAGAATATGAAAAATACAATTTATATAGCAAACAAAGTCTACATTTGAAAAAAAATATATTACATAAACATGTAGATGTTTGAACGTCACAAGGAGATATATAGATAAGTTACTTAATGGGTATCTACAATAGATTGGTCAGGAAGATAAACTATGGAGGAGCAGAAGCAGAAGGGATGTAACTTTTTTCCTAAATGGTAATGTTTGTAGTAAGGGTGTATTATAAATACACACACACACGCACACACACACACACACACACACACACACACACACACACATATATATATATATAATTTATTCACTATAAAAAAGGAATGGAGAATATCAGGATACATGAAATGTAAAGAGGAAAACCAAGCATGTGATACTTCAAGTAATGGGAGAGAACTGAAATGACAAAATCTTACAAAAATCACGATTATTACAGTGATCCACACAAGATAAACATTACAGCTAACTCTCAGTTAGTATTGGCACCCAGAGGACTGCAGATGATGTCGTTTACTAAGGCTAAGCTACACAGCGATGTGTCTGGAAGATTTGGCCCATTTGACGTCACAGTCTCCTAGGAAGTCAGTTTCATTCGTCTCTATGAAGGTGAGACAGGGAAGGCACACAGAGGCTAGGCTGTCCAGGATCCAGCTAGGTTGACTGAATCAACATTTCAAAGGGTTTCCCTCAACCAGTCAGAATACACTACTTCTGTGAAGTAGAGAGAATATTCGAAAGCAAAGAAAAGCATGGTCTCCAGAGCGCATCTATGTCAGCCTCCTGACTTGTCCTGGCCTTGACGCTGTTTGTCAAGACTTGCTGCCTATGACCAATTGGGAACCTCTCTAGCTGGCAGGGTATATTACTCGACAAGGCAGCCTTCAGAAATCAACATTAGGACAAGCCTGCCACCGATGGCAAAGAGGCTCCATCGGACACTACTCTGTGTTTGGAAACCTGTCCTGGATAGCAAGCAGTGAGGGGTATAAGGAAACGACTATTACAATTGTGGAAAGTATGATAACCGTGCGTTATTAACACTATTTTACACATACTATTATGGTACAAATTTTATTCAATTTTTAAGAGAACAAACCATTTGAGTACCTAATTTATAGCTCTTGGGAAACAGCCTACAGGACCTATTTTAAACTCTACCCATTTTTGTTTTCTTTTTGTTTTTTTCAGGAAACACAAAAGCTTATTCAACTCCTCTTGGCTTTATGTGGGTCTAATGTTTACCGCCACGCTGATAGAGAGAAAGGAGGTCACCGCAAGAGGATGACGTTAATAACTTAATGAGGCCAAATTAATGATAATTTAGTTCAGTCTATATTTATTTCATCAAAAGTACATGTTTCACGTTGAAAATATAATTTTATTCCACTATGCCTTACCTAGTAATAAGAAACTATATTATGAGAGTGGTATTCATTAGATGCTTCAGATAATAAACGAGAAAATTATATTATGACTTCTAATCTTTGTTAATTAGTTTCTTGTTTCAGTCTGCAACAAATCTATTCTTAATAGTAAACAAGTAAAAGACAGCAGTTCCTCAAACAAGGTTCAGCAGCTTTAAATCTTGCTCTGTGTGTGTGTGTGTTTATGTGTGTCTGTGTGAGTGCGTGATGAGCAAGTGTCTGTGTATGTGTGTGTGTGATTTTATTAGTACTGCTTACACTAGAAAAGATACAAATCTGAAGTGTGTTGTTAGCTATTTTGAAGAACATTGTGTGTTCTTGCTCTTTTGATGTAGGTTACCATCATTTTTTTTCACGTGCTGAACGCTCTGCAGAAGTTGAATGACCTTTCTGGACACATCACACAGGTTATTTAGTTAGTAGCTATTAAGTGAGTCTATGACAATGAGGTCATCCTCATACTCACTTACCCCGGCATTGGTCCATTTCCAGAAAGGCTGTAAACTTGACGAGGGTTTAGTAGATACTGGAATTTTCTGTAAATGCTGTAAATGTGCAAACATGGAAAGTGGGGAATTAAGTAAAGATCAATCGTGATTTTTCAGAAACATTCCACACCTAGTGCTGCAAGTGCACGGGTTAGTATTTAATAGTATCTGATAAATCCATCCTCTGTAATATCAAACATAAAGCACTCAAAGAACTAGTGGGCCTCAAAAGAAAGGAAACAGACACGAAGGTAACACAGCTTAGAAGTCAGAATTGATGGTCACACCGCTATGATGCAGCGACTGCTAACCCTCCATTGAACATTATTTCAGTAATCAGCATTAAAAATATTTTTAAAAAAATTCAGTATAAAACTTTTAATTATATTCTGTTGATAGATGGCTATGTGGAGTATATGCTTCTCTCCACAGATCTCAACATTGTTATTGGACCTAAGTAATAAAGATTAAAAATTATCCCTTACACAAAGTAGGGTTAAACACTTTATAATATACACTCCATTCATGGAAGGAAATAACATAGTCCAGTTGTTATACATGAACATTTCAACTCATAAATCTGTCAAATTATTCTTACAGGTAAATTTTAAAGACTTTATTTTCTGAAAGAAACTAATATTTTACTCCATCTCTAAATCTGCAAAAAAAAAAGAAATAAATAAAGAAACTATCTGTGTTGAGATGCTCCTGGTCGACAGCATGCCCTTTCCTGAGTCTACTTTCTCCTTCCCTCATCTGGTGAACATCTATTTGTGTAACACCCAATACAGGAGCACTTATTCTGAGATTTCTCAGTTTGCATGGATATTTCCTCCTCTGAACTTCCATAGCAACATATTTTAAACCTTTCTGAGTTAACATTCTTCATGTGGTTTTGCAGAATGTGTGTTGACCTGTTCCCCCATCACAAACCTTATGTCTTTTACCCTAGTGGTACAAGGTGCTACTAGAGTTTGGATGTGACCAGCAGGAGCCATCTGAATAAACGGTAAAGGGAAACAATTCACACCTGTTGACTATTAAAGCAAATTTTGTGTGGATATACAATTCTGTGACGTATTGCAATTTATCCAACCTATCAAAGTAAAAAAAAAATGGCAAAAATAAAAAAGGAGACATCTTTATGGAGTCCTAGTCTGGAAGTTCCCTGTCACAGGAAAATTATGAATAGGTATCTTTTAACACATCTTTTCACATTATTTGTCAAATCTTTTACTCTTTTGAGAATTATACACACGTGTAAAATGAAACACGAGCGTCCTGACCCCCCCACCTGTCTCCACTGACTGATTTCATTAATGAGGGCAGTGTTGCTTCCAGTGTTCCTAAGTATATGCACGTGTGTTTGTCATTTAACTGTTGAACTTGACCATTAAACATCAGTGTAATTGGCCCTGAGAGTTCCTTTGGAATTTATAACTGAGGGCTTAGCTACCGCTGTGCTCCTGAGGGAACACCGTTTCTGCTCTCACAGGCAAGGTTTTCCTCTTTATTCTCAGAACTGTCTCAGAAGGAATGAGCTCCGTGGCAAGGAAAAAGGGGGCTCCTTAACCAGCTGGATCTGCTGACTCAACCCTTGGGGTCAACAAGGACATCTTCATTCATGCATCCACCTCCTCCTTTAGGTGCTCTTACTGTTTTGTAAAATAGCCCGACCTTTATCTGGTACTCCCCATCTGTGTATGGCTGTGGAGTCATCTGGTGTGGGAGAATTGTCTGTATTCTGTCAATCATATTTTAATAAAACGCTGATTGGCCAGGCAGGCAGTATAGGTGGGAAAACCAGACAGGAAGTAGAGGTGATGCAATAAGGACAGGAGAATTCTGGGAAGCAGGAAGGTTCCTCTGCCACTACTGCGCAGACCACCCAAGAGGCAGCATGTAACTTGCCCAGCTGAGAAAGGTACAAAGCCATGTGGCTAAGATAGATAAGGATAATGGGGTAATATATGTTATAAGAACCAATAAGTAACCTGACCTAATGAGCCAATCAGTTTATAATCTTATAGAGTCCTGTGTGTGATTTTCTTTGGGGTTTGCGGGCTGTGGGGTACCGGGCGGAACGGAAACCCCAACAAGCCAGCCCCTTCGTGTTACAGTCATCCACCGGATCATGTGCAACAAGTCAGGTAGCACAGCCTCAAGATAATGATGCCCAACCCCCAGCAGCTGTTAGCTAATAATAGCTACTCAGTTAGAGTAATTCTCATGAGTCCCTCCACCTTCTATACCGGAATTGAAACCGGCTGATCTTGTTAGGTCTTCCATAATAGCTTATGAATGAAAAGCTGTATCATGTTCAGGAGGCAGAATTTCCCAGAATCTTCTCCATGCTTTAGAGATCAATTCAATGTCACCAAGGCTCACTCAGCTGATCTGGATGTTTAAGAGGGTGTCCCCTTCTTCCCTTACCACTCCATATTCATTTCTTCCTTGACTGTGCCCACAGTGAAAGAGGAAAGCTTTGTCTGGCAGAAAATTGGTCTTCGGTCAGGAGTAGAGCAGTAGTTAGGTTTCCCTTTCACCTTCACCAAACAGACTCTCAAGGGCCTGTAATTTGACCTTTCATTTTCAAAGTCAAAATATAAATAGCAAAGACATGCGAATAAAATAAGAGTACTCATAGCATAGCTGTGCTCACTAGCATCTTTCTGACTTCAAAGTACTTCCACATGGCTTGCTTTAAAGAAAATATGTATCAAACAGTTGGGAACATATTAAGCGAAGGATCAATCTAAATAATGTAGGGGCTCTCAAACTAAATGTAGACGGGTGTAGTATCCTTTTAAATCATATTTCATATTTTTTCTACTTAGTCTTTATTTTTCATGTCCATAAAAGAGTTAATTCTTATCTAATTCTTTGTGGACATTTTACATTTTGTATTCAAGATATTCATGATGTTTCTGTTGTTTTCATCTCCTGTGTTTTGAGGAATCTTGTCCAAAAATCCCTTACTAAGGATAACATGCCGAGACCTTTTCCTTTATCAGTTTCATATTCTGTGAAGTCTTCAATCTGATTTAGTTAATTGTTATAACAGGTAAGGGTGTAAAAACTGGTTTAGTCTTCTGCATCTGGATGCTAAATTTTCCCAGGGCTGCTTATTGGAAAGGCTGTCCTTTCTTCAATGCACATCCTTGTACCAGTGTCCAAAGTAGACAGCCATCCAGACAGAGATGTATTTCTAACTCTTTGTTCCATTTCATTCTGCTGTGTGTGTCTATGTCAGCTCAACGCCAGTTTGATAATTATAACCGTGTGGTAGATATTGCATTCAGGGTGTTTAAATCTCCTGAATTTTGTTCTTGGCTATGCTGTTGCACTTGATTCTCTCTCTCTTTCCTTTTTCTTTTAGTGAGATGATATGAATTTTAGGATTTTTTTTTCTATTAAGAACATTCTTGGCATTTGCATAGCAATTACATTGAGCCTGTAGATTCATTTAGGTAATAAACATATTCGACCACATTGATTGTTCCAACTGATGGAAATTAGAAAGCACTCTATGTTTTATGTTGTCCACAAATCTTTAATCAAGGTTTTACAAATTTCATTATAAAAACTTTGCCTTCTGAATTTCAAGTGATTTAGTGACTTATTTAATTTTGTACCTATCCTAAATTGATTCTTGCTAAGAAGGTGTCTTACTGTAGATCCAGGTTAGCTTAGAAAACCTCTGGTTATGCAGCTTGGGCTAACTTCATACTTTAAGTGCTAGAAACACAGGCATATAGCACATTAGCTAGTTGGGTTTGCTTTCTTGTTTTCTACTTAAAATAATTTACTATGTACTTGTAGCAACAGTACTAATGCTTTGTGTTGATCTGTATCCTTCCCTTTGGAGAAATTATGTATAAGTGTTCATATTTTTGGTGGCATGCTTGGTATTTTCTGATATAATGATTTTCTTTTTATTAATCTGAATGTCCTAAATTTTCCCTCTTACATGCCTGCTTTGTATAGATTTCCAATACTATGTTCAACAGTGATGAAGTTGGCATGGTTGTCTTACTTCAGAATTCAGAATGGATGCTTTCAGTTTTCCTATATCTCTTATAATATATTAGTGAGGTTTTCCATAAATGACATTGTACTAGGCACAAGTTAATTTCTTCTATATAAAATTTCTTCAACATTTTTTATTAGGCGTACTAAATCTTGTTGGGGAATAATCTTTTTGTATACTGTGAAGATATGTCTTTGTTAAGGCACCTTATGATTAGTTTAATAAAGGGATGCATGACCATTAGGTAGGCAGGAGGTATTGGTGGGAGTGATAGGCACAGAGAATTCTGGTAAGAAGAGAAACACCAAAGTCAGCTAGATATGAAATTATTTAGAAACACAGAATGGGATAGAGGTAATAGCCACACATATTAATAAAAATATGGGTTAATTGAAGTTAAAAGATTTAGGAACAAGCCTAAGCTATAGGCCAAGTTTTTTGTAATTAAGAACAAGTCTCCATGCCATTATTTGTGAGCTAGAAACCCAAAGAAAAATCCAACTACAAAAATCTACTGCACTTATTGATAAGATACAAAGGGACAAAAACATCTCTGCAACAAAGGAACATAATCCATGGGATGGGAGAACGACTTTCCAAAATATGCAACTTATAAGGAGCTGACAGCATTCATGAGAATATAAAAATTAGAAAAGTTCTAATTAAAATAAGAAATATAGCTAAATTTATATTCTCAAAAGAAGACTTATGAATGGCCAATAGAATGTATGAAAAAAAATACAACAAAGCTCATCACTGTAGCACAATTTTAGGGAAAAGCAAGTGAAAATTACAGTGAGAGACCTCAGTAAAAATGACTATTATTTAAACTGGCCATAGAATGATGTGGATGTGGATAAAAAGTATCCTTTACCTGTAGGTCTTAGTGACATATGTCTTATTGGAAAGAGTGGTGGCATACTTCCAAATCTTAAAGACTGAAGTACTGTTTGATCCACTAATAGATATGTATCAAAAGTCATTAAAAATAATGTTGTTAAAGAAGCAGCTGCATCCCACACCCTCTGCTCTATGGCTCACAATAGCCAAGACCAGAAACAACCAACATGTCCACCATCTTGGGAGCAGACTCATGTGGTACAGACTGAACTGGGAATGAGCAGCATGAAAGCCTGTAATTTCTGTCACCACATGTATACACATAGATGTTAGTTAAGTGCAACGAACCATGCAGAAATAGATAAGAACAGCATGGGCACACTTGTGGGATTGAAACACAATGATCTCGGAGGTGAGAGTTCATTGATTACAGAAAGGGGGCAGCTGTGGAAAGGTCGGTAAATGGGCACTAAGGTTAGCTTCACGGGAACAAAATGTCTTGACGTGCTAGTGCCCTGTTAAACAACAAGAGATAATGGAGAACTTCATGATGCTAGATAAAAGAATTTTCAGTTTGATAAACATTTGAGGAGATATGTTTGCCTGATTATAATAAACAATGTATTAAAAATACCACAAGAAAGCCTATTAATATTTACCATTTCCATCTTTTTATTATTTCTGAAATAAATTGGATTACAAAGGTGCGTGTAATAAATTAAGCTTTTCAATAAAAGTACTTTTGCAATATTGCTTAATTTCTACTTTCATGAGTGAGGCAACTGATCTCTTTAATGAAATTTGTGGAGTTTTAAGGTTTTGAGTTATTACTACAGTATATATTTATCATAGTAAAAGATAACTATATGTTATGAAAAGTAAAAGTTAATAACATTTCATTCAATGAAAAAATAATAAGTGTCATTTAATCAAAACAACTCAAAGTTAAAGGACATCAGAAAAAGTAATTTTCAAAATTCTACGATAGGGATGGAAATCTTTCTAATTTGTTGTAAACAACAAGGGACTCTAATGTACAGTCACAGAGTTTATTTTGACCTGTTCTCACATATGAGATTAAAAATGACATACCAGCAATGTTAAGGGGGACGTACGTGATTGTATTACTCCTCTGTATACTTGAATAAACTCTTCAGTGGTTTCCTTTTCATATTTTTGTTTCATATTATGACTTAATTATTAATTCATCACAAGAGTAAAATTTAGCATTTTTGGCTTGAATAAGTACTAAGATGCCTGACACTGTAGCCTGTGTTTTATTTCATATTACATATACTGTCCTTACCTACAAACACAGAATCATGAACTCTAAAATATAGGCAGAAAATCACCATAATATATTTGCCTAAAAATTTCACATGAATTCTCTTCCTTGGTATTGACTGTAATTTGCCCGGGATCTACCTGTTAACCGCTTGGAAAACCAACTTCCTTTTAATATTGTGAATCCTTGTCATATACCAAGCCCTTTGCTAAGAGGCAAGATCATAGGTGTGGTAGACAAAATGGAGATATGTGACGTTTGGTAGCTAAAATGCTTACAAAAGGCCATTACATGAAAATTTCAAATATAAAAGAGAAGTGACTGATATCAGTCTGTCACAATAGGTGTTAGCTTGTATATTAGAGTTATCATTATCCTTTGAGAAGCAGTGTTGTTTACATCATGAAAGTAGTTCATCTTGTCACTTTCATAAAAGAGAGAAACAGACTTGGCTTTTAAAACCTACCGTTCTCCTTGCTTCCCACCACTTTTGGGGTTGACAAAAACTAGAAGTGGATGTGTGCCAGGAACAGGAGTGATCTAGAAGGAAGAACGGAGGAAGGATTAGGATGTGACATAGTATGAGGGTGGCTGTTGTCTCTCACCATAGAAAAAAGGCTCACAAAGAAACTTTCCTTTAAAGAAAGAAGAACAGGCAAGAAAAGAAAACCAAAAGCTGCAGTTTGTGGAAAATTCTGTAAACTCTCTACAATCAGTCACTGTAAGAGAAACAAGAATCCAGTTACATATAGAAAGGCTTCTTTACATA